CAGCCTCATCCTCATCCTTATCCTAATTCACATCCCTATAATTTCCTTGTTTGTAACCTTATTTTTACCGATATCCTAACCCGCATCTGCTTCCTCGTCCGCATCCATACGCTCATCCTGATCCTCATCCGCTTCACTCTGGCTGCATCCTCACCCTCATGTACACCTTTATCTTCATCTTCATCCTCATCCTCATCCACATCCTCATCCCTCTCCTCATACTCATCCTTATTCACTTCCGCATCCTCCTACGCATCCATACGCTCATCCTGATCCTCACCCTCATGTACAACTTTATCTTCATTTTCATCGTCATCCTCATCCATATCCTCATCCCTCTCCCCATACTCATCCTTATTCACTTCCCACGTCAGCATCCTCATACGCATCCTCATTATCATCCTTATCCTGAGGAACAGGTGTCAAAGTCTGTTCTTATACAAAACTTGTGTATCTTATTCATCTTCAAATGTGCCGTTTGTCAAGGAACAGTCTACGTCTTTTTAGAACACGTCGTATTTAAGACGCGTCTTATTTTTCCTCGTATAAATGGCTCCAATATTACATACCTTCAGCACATGTTGCCCCTTGCAGTCCCTCTGGGCATAAGCAGGACCCGTCCTTGCAGATTCCTCCAAAGCGACATGGATTATCAGCGCACTTGTCAATAGCTTAACGTTTATTTATATGCAAAATGAAAAAAAAAGAAGAAAAAGGAATAATTAGGTAAATCATTCGAGGAAAATGCTTGCGTCAATTATATGCACGTGTACTCAACCAGAATTGAAAACTAACCTGTACCGGTTGTTGCAGTCCATAAGCCATTTCCGAGTTCCCCCGGACCTCTGTATCAAAACGAGGTTAAGTGCTAAGAATTTGATATGGAAATTATTTTTCATTCTCATGCAAATAGAACTCCTTTTCACAAGAGAGGTGCACTTGGCCTCATTTTGAAAGTGAGGGTTTTAGGGACTCGGAAGTGGCCTTTCTTTACGTTCAGCAGTCTTTCTCCTACGAGCTCAGTGACCAGGCTGACCTGGTTAGCCCAAAGATTACAAACACATTTCGATATGTTCTCGTCGCTCATTATTTTTTACGATCTAACATCTAATTACCTAAGCACATGGCCTCTCTTAAGCCGGTAGTTATCATTTCGAGGTTATTCACATCAGCGGTGAAGACATGACTTGTCACTCCAAGGGCAATTTGGTCAAGCTCGTACCTACTGTAGCCATCACCAATTCCAAGAACAAAAGAGGTCACATTAGTATAAGCTAAGAGTGTTGTAGGCACCGTAATGTCATCCGTGGACGTACCGTCTGTAATAACCAACAAAATCTTAGAAGCACCTGGCCGGACAATGCTACCGTTGAAAAGACCTGCTATTGACTTATTTAAAGCCAAACCTATGTTTGTTAGACCACCAGGGTACATAAGATTGTCAATTGCCTCTTCTATATCGCTGACATTTGAGTACTGGTCAAGAGTAATCTCCAAAGATGCATTCGTTGAATAAATGATGACTCCCACACGTGTTCCACTACTTGAAAGATTAAATGAGCGGGTGAGGTTCTTCAAAAAATTCTTGATGGTGGAAAAGTTGGATTGGGTGCTATCTGAGCCGTCGACAACAAGTCCCATGTCAATCTTGCTAAACGTACAGTCTGTAAAAGGAATAGGGGGCCATACATGAATTAATACTCATTGCCCAGTTTCATAGGTTTTAAGTCCGTGAATTATGTGATTATCGACACAGAGTTAAAAAAAAAAAAGAAGAAAAAAAAAACACGAGCTCTTGCAACATCTTCAAGTTTAATGTGTATCGGGCCCATACAGCCTTTCAAAATCTCGAAAATGTTCCAAGAAATGTACGACAGCGCAAGTGCCCGGAAATCCGTATTTTTTTATTCAAGTTTTCGAATTGCTATATCTCGTTCAATACTGGTCCGATAAATAACAAAAGGTGAGGCTTTTTTTTTATTCTCTGAGTGCTCTTTCTAAAAAAGGCTTTTGTTAGCTGTGGTGGTAACGGCCACATCATGTAGAGCTCACTGCAGGCTTTCAATTAACTTTTTAACCATTGCAACATACTATAACACAAAAAACCTTAAGAGGCCCTAAGCGAACCCACCCCCTTTGGGGCGGCCCTACATTCCGACGATGTTGGGGAAAGGATGTCTTGTTCAACTGAGGAATTAAGTTTTGTCATTGATAGCTAGCTTGCTGTTCAGGACTTTTCTTTTAAAGGATTCCTCCTTTACAATTTGGGTCATGTGACATCATATGGCAGCAAATCAAGTTTTCAAGTATTTTCAAAATTGAAAATCGTACTTTAAAAACCAAGGAAAGGTTTACACAAAATACATAGTCACATACCAAGATGGCAGTTTTTACCATAGTAACCACGTTTGCAGACGCAGTGGTAGCTTCCAAACGAGTTAAGACAAGTTCCTCCGTTTTGACAAGGACTGTTAAAACATTCGTCAAAATCTACAACAGCAATAACAGGGCAAAGAATAAATGTTTTATTTGTCTGTTTGTTTGTTTATTGCAGTTTTTTTGTGAAGCATTTGAGAAATACAAAACTATTGCAGATCTCAGTCACAGGCTCATTTCAATTGACCATTGCCTTCCCAAAATCTATTTTCTTTATTGTCCTCTGAACATGTTTTTGCTGAAAAATCATAGCATTGTTGGATGTGAAATGATTGCATATCCCAAATTTCAAATTGTTACAACACAATTAGTCCAAACACGTTTAGTTCACGGCCAATCCAGCAAAAGGGAAACCTGTCAGTACTTAGCAGACAGACGATTGTAATAGGCCCAAAATCTTCTGTCGCATTTCCAGTAAAATAAAACTACATTTAGCAGAAGCTAGCGGGGATCTCATACAGGTTCGGCACTTTAAATATTTCATCCTAGATTGTTATAACAGGGGCGGATCCAGGTTTTTTTTTAGGAGGGGGTGCACTCGTCTCTTGCTCTATTTCAACACCAATAAACCACAAAGTTTTATTTTTTGGCAGAATACCAGTTGTATTAGAAAACCGCAGGTCATCTCAAGGGGGGGATGCGCACCCCCTGCACCCTCCCCCTAGATCCGCCCTTGTATAAGACTACGAACCGTCAAATGATAAAGCAAAAGTGCAAGGAAATGATTAAACGCCACTTACGATGTTCAAGGTCAAGCGAATCTTTTTTAATTATTATTCTTTTCATACGCGAACTCAAAAAATGTGTTCGTTGTTCGATGTTCGATGTTCGATGTGTGTTCGATGACTTGCTCCACTTCAAGGCCGTTGATGTTGATACTTGCGTCGGCATGAAAAGCTTTCCGGTATTGTGTGATCATAGCCGAAAAAGCAAGTAAAGCCTCCATTATTTTGTAGAGAAGACTTTGTTTTTATACATTTCTAATCGGTGATGCTTGAATTACACTTGTTCCAATGCTCAAAAGTTGTTTGCAGAATAATTAGGGCGCGTTGTCTTAGCTAACCTGTCGTATCATCAGTTATTGCGCAGTCTTGTAACATACCTTCAGTACAGTTTTGTCCTATTAATCCTAATGCACATGCGCAGGTGTATGAGCCATCGTTGGTAAGGGTGCAGTTGCCCCCACTTCTGCATGGGTTTGGATCGCATGCCGTGACAGCTAAAAGGGAAAAGATGACTTAACCTCCATTTGAAAGTATAGTCAATTCCCGTTAATTCGAACCTTCAAGGAAAATAGAAAAAAGTTCGAGTTTTCGGGAGTTCGAGTTATCGAGGGTGAAATTGTATAGAAAAGGATCTGAAGGGAAATGAAAATTGCTTCGAGTAAGCGGAAGGTTCGATATATAGAGGGTTCGAGTTAACGGGAGTCGACTGTACCTCCATCATTCAGCAAACTCATCAGTATGGGTCGTCCATCTCACAATACATCGAAAGATAGCGGTACAACTCTCCGTTAAAATCTTACTCATTTGGTCGAGACAGCAGCAAAACCGCATAAATTTTTAAAAACAGTGCGACTTTTAAAATTTTAACAAACATGTTTCGACGGTACATCCATCATTGTCAGTGTGTCAGTTATGAAAGTTTACAGCGGATAAAAAGTGCCTGTTACAATGTACATTATACGTTACATTGCGTTGGAAAACAATACGCTACATAAATTTAATCATTTGCATCCAACAAAAGTTATATTGTATATATACGGTGCAACCCCGGTTCTTCAAACTTTGAGGGGAAAGAAAAACAGTTTGAGTTTGCGGGCGTTCGAGTTATTTGGGTGGACTGCATATTCAATTTGCCCTTTAACTATTAAAAGTTTACTGCTTTTTCAGCAGTTCAGTACTAAAGCACTAAATCTTTCTTAACAGAAACAATAAAACGATCATGCATTCTTATTCCGATGATCAGGTGTACCTCATAAGATAGAGAAATGACTGCCAAATACGTGATCTGTTCTTTTGAATAATTAAAATTAATAGTCTACGTTTTAGTGTTTTTACCGATTACAAGAAAAGACGAGCTAATGGGATGGCATCTTTAGAGAGTAGTAAGAGCCAGAATTCAAGGTAATTTTAACCATGGTAAATAAATTTAGTTCGAGTAAGCGAGGAATTAGAGTTAGCCGAATAAAATTGGCTGAAGAGAAATGGGACTTAGTTCGAATTAGCAGAAAATGAGAGTTTTTCGAGTTTGAGTTACCGGGTTCCACTGTAGTAAACTCTCTTTAAGTTTTGTAAACGGCTTTTTGAACGTAGAATTTAAAGTCTGTTTCGTTAATTTACTTACATGGTACGCATGTTGTTCCTCCAGTATTTCCAAACAAATTCTTACAATCATATCCTGATATACAATCCTGGTAAGAGCATGGATTTGCAGCTGTAAAAGAAAAGTAAAAACCATTCAAAAAAGTTTGCTTCACAGCGGGAAAAGAAATGATGATTATACAATGGTTGCCCAGACAACCCTTTATTGTAGCAACACGCAAAATGCGGAACAATTATATTGGACAGGATGACAGAAAAAACAACCAACTCATTTATCAGGCCAGTTACATTGGACGGCATGGAAATTGTGCTGTGTACTGACATCGATCTTCCCGGGAGCACAAACGGCCAGAATTAAAAATTTCGTGGCATTTTACGGCAGTGTCTGAGCAATGTAATTAGCCTTCACGTACCCGTTTTGTTAAATTCCCAAACTTCCTAAACAACATGTGGTTTTGATATGTGATTCAAAACACGTGTGGTTTTTCATTGGGTATCAAAACGCATGCACGTGACGAATTTAGCCATTTTTTATTGGCTATTAAACTTATGAATTATTAATGAGATTTAGAATTATGATCGCAAACCTCTACAGATTAGGTCCCTTGCACTTTCTACCATATTTTCCAAATCCAAGTATGTTGTACTTGAAGATATTAGAAGGTGGTTGGAACTTTGGCTAGTTACTAGATCTGCTATGTATCCAGTTGAAGTTGTATGAAGGGCGAAACCAATAATAGTAACGTCGCGGCTTTTTAGTTCACTGACAATTGTCATTGGATCTTCACTTGAACCCCAGGGAGGAGAAAGTACACCAATGACAGCAGATTTTGAGGCTGAAAACAACTGAGACTCCTCTTTTGCTTTAGTAAATGCCTTCTTCAGATTCGATCTGCAACCCATGACATAATTGAATGTCCGTAAGGTATGGGCAAATTGACTCATATTTGCAGAGTGGCCCGGTCGTACCACAAAATGAGCATCGGTAGAATATGCTATCACGCCAATGTTTTGATAAGCCATGGTCGAGGCCACCGAAATAATGAATTCTACTTGCAGTGTTACGTTGTCTCTTCCAGTAGCGAGTGAAGTTTCCATTATGAAAAGAATAGTCGATTCCTTGCTGCAGTCTAAAGAAAGAGGAAAGCAACTGGGTTTGAACTATTGTGAAAAATATTTGAACATTCTAATTTTTAATTGTATGAGCTAAATCTTTAATGAGGTTAAGATCAAGTTCACTGTATCACTGGTGACAATTTTAAGCCATTGATATCATGGAAAACAAGTCTTTTTGCAGCCTACTAGCGTAGTTAGTGATCCTTTTGAGGTCGGCTGATGAAGCTGGTTCAGTGTTGTGTAAAATGGCACTTTATCGTTTCTTCTACTGGCTATTACAAAGCAGAAGACTATGTAACAATTCTCTCCTAAAACAGTCCCAGTGTCCTTTAAGAAACATTCTCATACCGAAGCCTCGAAATCACCAATATGCGACTGAACAAGCGACAAACATTCCGCATGGCTCAGAATCGTCAACCCACAATATTGCCTCTCGATATTTTTAACATTTATTCCCTCGACTTCTACCAGGCCTTTAATTATGAAGTACAAAGTAAACTTGCAGTAGCCCTCCAAGACACATGCAAATCGTTATCCTAGACGGTTACTTATGAGAGATGTAATTAAAAGTTCTACAGTGTACATGAAGAAAAACTAAAACATTCACCTTTTGTACAGCCTGAGCCATAAGTTGTGGTATCCGAGCAGGTGCATTGATATCCGCCAAATGTTTCCGTGCATGTTTTATTTGGCGGACAGGTAACATTACCACTCAAACATTCTTTTATGTCTAGAAAGCAAAAGAAATTGTCAAGCTCAATTTAAACAAGGACACCCAACGAGTGTTTTCCGCAAAAACAAATCTGTTCGAAGAAGCAAATATTGCCTAGAATTTTTTTTTTTATTATTATTATTTATTATTTTTTTTAATATACGTTGGGGGCGTTATGAAGTTAAATGTTTCACATTTCACTCCCCAGATTTTGCTATTATTTATAGAAATGGAAAACCTAGAATTTTCGGATTCCAAAATGTGATCGAGAGGGGAATCAGAAAACGTCTCTAAGTACTGACGCCTTTGTAAATTCGAAAAGGGTTTAAATTGCCCTAGGTTGACCGAACAGGTACCAAGTTTATAGCGCTGCTTAGAAGGCTTTTCTACAGATCAAAAAGTATTCTGACTATAGTAGGTAGCCTGAAAAATGATTTTAATATATTAAGGAGGAAACCGTCGATTGGTATCCCGGTTTGAAGTCACTTAACACATTTTAAATCTTATAAATTAAAGTATATGCCCCTTGCTTTTATCTGTACAAAATTTTGACCGAACGTACTCGAAAAGTGTTATCATGGGCTCTTATATTTTTTACCATATTAGTAGAAGGGGATGAAAGGCAGCAAACATAAAAAATAAATAAAGGTACAGCAGTTTATATAGTTTATTATTTGAATGGTCCATACACTCAAAAGTTAGAGTCACCTTACAAAGATCCTTCTCAAACTCATTAATAATTCATTAAGAAAATACAAAGGAAATTAATGTTTAATGAGTGTTACCTTTAGCCTACTTTGTGACGAATCATAAACGTAGGAATTAAAGAGGAAGTTTTTACTAAAACTTTGAGAAGAAATATCAAACATTCGACACAGTTTTTCATCACCAGATGAAACACCTCGAAGTTCGTCGTATTTTCAACTCTCTTCTCGGTGTTTCATCTGGTGATGAAACACTGCATCTCATGTTTGATATATTACATCAAGCACTTTTGGATGAAAATGGATGGAAACTTTAAAAAAAAATATGGCCCACCTCAATTATGCTGCAAAGTCTACGCCTCAAAAAGCCTAAGAAAGTTTATTACGGTTATTGCTCCCTAATGAAATTTGTTTGATACTTTCTTCATAACTCTACAGGAGAATTTTGTGTATGGGTAACTTAGGAGATCATTTTATGTTTCTGTGAAACTGCTTACCTACCCCTCCCCTAAGCCAACATTGACACTTAGTTCTTACTTAGGGCAAAATATTGGCTTAGGAGAGGGGTAGGTGGGCAGTTTCCGAGAAACGTAAAATGATCCAGTTTAGGCACTAAGTAACGACTTGAGTACAGAATTGACCTGAAACAGCAATATCCTCATGATATAGCTCTTTTAAGGGACGAACATTTTTATTTCTTTTTTTTTTTGGCTAAAGCTAACTAGCAATCGTGGTGTTGCCTACCTTCACTGCAGTATCTACCCTGCAGTCCTTGGGTACAATTGCAGGTAGCACCTCCATCTAAGCATGTACTTCCAAAGCGACAAGGGTTATCAGCACATCCGTCAGCAGCTATAGAATAACACAAATATGACAGAAACACAGCTAAACGTAAACTGTGACAATAGACAGACAGCAACGCACCAGTGATGTTACGAGTCTTCATAGCCAATAACATCACGGCTTAACTGGCACACGACCAATAACATCGCGACTTAATTGACCAATCAGGTCAATAAACAGAGTTTAAAACCATCAACTGACGTGATACAACTCACTTTCACTCTGAAAATGACGAAAACAGTAGGTAGTATGTAGGACTTGAAATCGCACCATCTGAACTTTGATCCACATCCGTTTAATCCACTGCACCATAAAGGGCTAACTACCGACATCGGTTAATTTGAACGCAGTTTATATGACATTGATCATTACATTATTGAAAGCTTTGTGCTCGCGTAGTTATTGTACCCAAGAACATGGAACATGGAACATACGTTTAGTTCTTGTTGTCCCCTTAAAACAATCCTTAAAACCATTGCGTTCATAAGTTGTACCAGTTCTCCGCTCTTATAAAACATGACAAATTATTCTGCTTTTTTTTGCTTTTGCCGAATAATTGATAGGTTAAGATCCTCATTTTTTACATCATCATCACTAATGATGGTAAGGTGGTTTCTGTAATATTAAAATAAATTAAATGTCAAGATTCTCCACTGCCCCCTGCATAATCACACTCATAATAATAAAAAAAAAAATCATCGATCGTATTTTTATAATTAGAATTCTTATCATAAACATCTCATACGTCCTAAGGCCGCAATCGGCGAAATAATAAGTCGAAGGCAGGTATTGTATGTTCCTCATTTTATATTAGTCCGTTGTGTTTGACCGAATTAGAAGTAGAGTGACGAGCATTTCTTTATGGAAAGAGATGGCTATCATAACGATCGTGCATCTCTTTGGTATTCGATACTGAACAGGGAGAAGAATACTTATACTGGGTCTAAACAACTTAAATTTAATTAACAATAAAACCCAAACGACATGTTTATAAACTGAAAGCATTTTTGTTTATGCTTTACGAATATTTTCTCATAGAAATTGTTGTATAAAAGCACGCATGCATCTTACCTCGGCAGATAGCGTCTCCAATATCATCAAGGAACAAAGTTCCGTTAAGGGAAGTGAATTCAGCGGCACTGAAAACACGCTTTTCTTCACCCAGAACTATTTTTGTGAGTTGAGAACGGTCGTAATTTCTACCAATCCCAACAGCTAGTGAGATTATGCCACTCCTGTTTACAAGTAAAGCGGGGATAACGACATCATCGATTGATACTCCATCAGTGATTACCACTAGTACTTTGAATGCATTGCTTCTCACTACACTGCTATTGAATAAACTTGTGACAGAGTCGTTTAAAGCTTTTCCAGTAAATGTTCCCCCGCCGAGGAATTTTATGCTATCTAGCTCGTTAGAAAAACTGATTAGGCTCGGGTAATGATCCAGTGGTAAAGCCAGGGTTGAATTAGTAGAGTAAACAATCACTCCAACGCGTGTTTTACTAAGATCCAATGGGCTGACGATATTAACTAGAAGGTCTTTCATGTGTTGAAGGTTGTTTTCTCCGTCAGACTGTACGCTTGCAGAGCCATCCAATAGGAATCCCAGTTCGATTTCATCAATCCTGCAGTCTGTGATGCAAAAATTAAAATAGCAGCTCTTTATTTATCATCAAACATGGTGTGTTGAGGTCACAAATGCAATAATTGGTTACAAATATGTAATAAGGGTCCAAAATGTAATTAAAGATTGGTGCCAAATGTAATAAAGGGCGACAAATGTTATACGCAATTGGTACTAGATGTAATAAGGGGTCACAAAAGTAACAAGGGGAAGATCACTAACGTAATAAGGATCGCTTGTGTAATAAATCATTGGTCACATTTCAACAATAGTCACCGAAGTAAGAGGGTGAACAATTAATTTCGCAACAACTGGGTCAGGTTAACGATCGATGGCAGATATACAAGATGACAGGACATTGTGCTGACAAGTAAACTTTCGCTAGGCAACGAGCTAAAATCCGTTACGTACCACGCGGCCTTGCGCAAATTAATAAAAGTTTTGGCACAGGCAGACCATCCTCTGTAGTATTAACTTCCGGTTGCCATTTTTGACGTCCGGGACGTCACCGTTCTCATTGCTTAAGGCCCCTACTTACCAAGTTGACAGGACTGTCCACGAAAGCCGCTAGGGCACCTGCACGCGTATCCTCCATAGTTGTTAACGCAGGTACCCGGTTGTCTTCGAAACCAACTGATGCATGGGTTCATATTATTGTAGCATTCATCACAATCTAGAGCAAAAGCACAAGAACAGCCTTTTAGCTACCAGACATCTGTAATCATATCCTCCTTTCCAAGACTATTTGCCTTTCAGTAAATGAGCGTTTTCGATTTTGAGGAGGAATAATAGTGGTTTTAAAAACAACGTAAGAACAAAAAACAAAAGCATAAAATAAATAAGGAAAATATGTCATGGAAAGTGCGCTCATAGTGTATTTACGCACGAGTTGTTGACGCGTCAGAAATCGAAAGGCATTTTGCATGGCATGGGTTGGTTAATCCTAACCCTGATAACATTGAGGGCAGGCAAGTGCCCCCCCCCCCCCCCTCCATGAGCCATTCACTCTTGCTCCCCATAAACTATCCTTTCAGTACAAACATTAACCACTAAGGACTGCAAAGGACCACAAACGAATATGCCGAACTTGCATCCTAGATATTTCTGGACTAGTCTATCTGTATAATTTAAGACGTTCGTCTTATGACGTTACGACTAGCACGATGCACTTTTAATTGAGACGTTCTGTAGTTGTGTTGTCCGAAAGAATTCAAAACAGAGTGCGCGGATATTTTTCATCAGAGCTTTCTCTGGTTGTTACGCCATACTGACGAGCCCCAAAGAGGGCGGAACAGCTGTCTATGGCTACAATCCCGCTCTGTTTTGAGTTCTTTCGGTGTCCTGTTAATGTCTTGCAGAGTTAATTTTCACGTAGTACGATCAGCATTGCAGTATTCTGCTTGCAGAATCTAATATGTCTCCTATCCTTTCAGTACTTTTTAGGGCCTGTTTACATGGAGGCGGGCGACCCAACCATAAAATCTCCCATATAGTCTCCACCTACCACGAGATCAGAGATTATATGGACAGGCGGGTTACACCACCCAAGCGGATTACCTCACTTACCTTCCCCACCTCCATGTAAACGGGCCCCAAATTTCATTTCGCATAGTAAAATTGTCTTGCCTGTAATACAGCTTGAATTGAAATTAACAATCTTTTTAACGATTATTATAAGGTTCTTAGAACAATCCACAACACGAGGCAGAGATGGGATAGAACTTAATACTCCCTTATGGGAACTGATATTGCAGAAAGAAAGGATTTCGCTGTTAGTAGTAAATCGAACCTTTTAATTAGTATTTCAAGCAAAATAAAGGAGTATAACTCAGTTGTGATTTTTAAAACCATATTTTAGACAGTTTTCAATTTATTTTCATTTGTTGTGTATTAGGTTATCTCTGTGACTTTTTGTCTTTTGTCTTTCATTCGTGAAAGAATATAATGTCCACATCGACCAATCAGCGCTCGTTCATCAGATTTCAGACAAATCTGTGTCCGAAGTATAAAGTTTTGTGGGCCGAATCGCAGACGTCTCTACCATCGAAAAACCCCTAGCGCGAGGAGAGATCAGAGGAGATACGGCTGTATTTGGCGCATGTTTCCCAAATACACTACACAATGTTAGACGCTCACCATTTTCACAATTATCACCCCAAAATCCTTCTGTGCAGATGCAGTTGTAACTCCAGTCTTTGGCATTCCCTTGACATGTTCCACCATTTAAGCAAGGGTTGGTTTGACAGGGATGAGAAATACCTGCAATAGGTGGAAACAAGAAAAGATTAAAATAGAAAAAAAAAATAAAATAAAAAAGGAACACGCTGTGATGTGGTTTAATACCAACTTAATATTCAGACGTTAAACAAATTGCTGTTAATTAAGATGTCATTCAAATGACCGCCATCTTAGCAGTATTCTGGATTTTTCTTAAAAACAAGGCTTGCGAAAAAAGTCCAGAACGTCCAGACTTCACGATTCACATAACAGCTCATAAATATAGTATAGTTAAACATCTTAATATTTCAATTTTTTTTTCTGTATCTTAAGGCAAACATTAACTAGTCACTGTTTTTATTGCGCACCAAACAAGTCGAAGAAATCTCTGCACCAGAAGTTTGTAATCCTCTTCAAAACGCCCCAAAGCAGACCGTTGCGGTCTTCACAAAAGATAAATACATTGGTGAGTAAAAAAAGATGAATAAGTAGTTATAGTTTAGATATGTAGGACAACATCTGCCGATGCACTGGAAGGTCAGGGACTCTCAAGACCGTTCACTACGAGAATCAACTCGATCGGAATGCTGTTGTTTCCCGCTTAATGGCCAAACATTGGAACAGTGACATGACAGAGAGAGGTGCAAAGTGCTGAAGTTACTTAGGATTGTTCGTTAAATAGTAACATAGTCTGCAAGAACTTTTGAGTCGTTTTAGAAGCAAAAAAAATGCTTCCAACAAAAATGTCCACTGTACTGCTCTCAACTTGCCTGCACAGTTATCCCATAAGTGATCGTTTGTATAGTTATCAGTCGTTGCACACCATGGCCAAATGTTATTGTCCTTGATGCATGAATAGATCTCTTTGCCTTCATACCAGAAGGGGAAGACACAGCATTTGTTTCTTTGTGTCTTGAAGCATCCTAGATCAAAATTGAAGTTAATTACACTCACTGACATATGGTAGGCAGGGTAACGGAGTGGTTAGGTCAGTGTGATGCTTCCTGGCTTGTTAGTTGTATTTGTTTGTTGCCATTCCTGAATCCAACATTGTAAGCAATCATTTCTTTTATGTATTTTCATCCATTTATTTATTTACGTATTTAGTCTATGCTGTGCACCTTTGATTTACTAGGTTATTCTAAAACGTGAGAAGCCTTTTAATTAGTCAGAATAGCTAAGTGTCAGCCTGCATTCTTTTTGTTTTATTGGATCCTTTCCTGGGGAAATTCTGTTGAACATATCACAAATATAAAGATCGAGAAAAAATAATTCCGGTCATATACTTTAAAGATCTTTTCTTCTAAATGCATCGTTATTGAATGGAGGAAATCAAATTTACCTAAAACTTGCCAGTTTGACAGTGAAATACCTAAGGGTTGATGATTTCCACTGACGCGTTTTTGACTACGCTCGTTAATGCACGTAAATTTTAATTACGTAAATAAAATAGAGGCAAGATGAAAAGTGCTGAGCTCAAACGAGAAGCTAAGCGAGGTTTAACTTTTACGCTAACCAGCGACTTCTCATGCATTGCCTCTGTGTTCATTTGCGAGCGTAAGTTTTACGCACGTACATACGCACGTAAAAATTACGCGACACTGCAAATCAACCATAATTTATTAGAAATTTTGTATCAATAAAAAAAAACTAGGACTGTTATACGCAGACCATGAAATACAACAATTCTCCTCTTGCTCTTTACTCTATTTTATTGCTTTTCCTCTTTCATTATTCACAGCCGCAGTTATCGACCCAGCAAAGCTTCACATGTCCGAGCGTACAATGGTCATAGAGAAATACTTGCTCCAATAGACCTCTTTCATAATGGCGGCCTATTAATATATTCTTTTATACGTATGATAAGTAGACTTTCTGACCTCGTTTGAAAGTGAGAATTCGTTCGTATTTTGCACATGCTAACGAGGTCAGAAAGGCTAATTATCATACATATAAAAGAATATATTTAAAGAGGTCTATTGAAAAAGGAAGGAGTTCTACTTCAGATTTGTTTCCTTACTTTTTTACATATTTCAAATCCTCCTTATACTGACCTTCAGTAACCAGTTCCCCTTCCTGAATCGTGGATACACACCCTGCAAGTTCTGCCCTTGCGCAATAACCATCCCCTGTGTTAAATGTTGGGTATTTCGGTTCAAAACGTAAAGAACGAAGAGGGTCTGGTGGAGTTATTTGGTAAGATCGCCTTGTGTCACCACTTCCATTGTTCAAGCCTTGCTCAAAGAGCTGTAAAAAGAATAGTTGGTAAAGAAGGAATACATTAACGTCAATAATGTCATAGCCTTTTGTCTTTATCTCATGAATAAATGCGCGGGAATCTAGTTAAGTTAAGATCATCTGGTTATTTTTAGGACGATTAATATCCGTTGGTTTATTCATGTTGTAGAAGGAATACGACCTAATTCGCTTGTGACTTAAAATCACTGAGTCGTAACATAATTATGCCAGTCCTATTTCCTAACACTTTCAAACCCCGATTACACCGGTCCAGACGACTTTTTAAACTTACGAATTCTACTTGTGCAACTCGTTTTGGAAATTCTGTTAAGCTTGGTTTTCACTAGCGCATAAGCACAAGCATAAGCCAGGCTTTAAAGATTGCACTACTGTTTGCCGTTCATAAACTTTTACGGTTCCGCGGGTCCCGTGTCAAGAAAGGTGGAACCTTGCAAGTTTTTGTCCACACCCGTGTAAACGGGTTTTAACTGTCCAACAAATTGTTCCTGACCAGATCCGTTTCACGGATTCTTGACACGCAAATTGTCCATACGCACAAGTTCGAAGACAAACTGGCTCTTTCTAGCGTCGAAAAAAAATACATTCTCGGCTCATCATCCTCTTGTGGTAGAAGGAGCTACAACAAGTTGCAAAAATACTTTAGACACTGTACCTTATTTTGGCTTAAATGGCCTGGTTATGATCTTATGCTTGTGATCGCCCTTCCCCCTTATCAAAGTTGTCAGCAATACAAGACAATGCTCACAAATAAGTGGAACAACTTTGAATGGTGGGAATGGGGAGGTAAGTATTATATCTCCACGGACGTGTTAATAGCACCGACTTGAAATAAGAAACGCCGGTTTTTCGTCGGAGTGTCTCAACACTTTTGCAACTGGTTGTAGTTCGTCTTCGAACACACTTATATGCAGAATTTGCGCGTCAAAAGTCAGTGAACCAGACCTGGAATGATTTTCTTATCTTACCAAACAAGACGACTCGTTTCTTGTTAAATCAACAAAGTGGCTTCCGTTGCTGCTATAACTTAGACAAATTTTATAAGGCCATTCCTTGGCTTCCACTCCTCCTTGAACTTGCACTTGAGAGATGTTAAACTGTCTTCCTGTAAGGTACAAGCTGCTTTCTTAGTGGGACGGTTTAAAACTTCTGACAACTGTATGTTACGGTATGTTACGAAGAGTAGAACCTGATTCTATGTACTTAAGGAGCAACATATACTGCAATAATTAAGTGTCATAAATGTAAAGAAGATCATTGCCGTTGAAGACGCAACTATGTCATGCCACGGTTCAAATATAACAAAAAAATCATATTTTTATTATTTCATCTTCAACTTTGCGGACCACTTTAATGACCTGGGGCCCTTTTCTCGAAGTTCCGGTACCCCCCCCCCCCGGGGGGGGGGCATTTTCGTACGGTAGGCCGAACTGGAGAGTAAAATCTCCGTTTTCAAGTGGAAACGGTAGGTATGTACGGGGCCTAATATAAAAAACACGTTATGAAATATCAGTGAGTGAGTGACAAACACATTCAACTGACTCACCTAGATCAACTATAAGCACTGGATTTCTCGGAAGGTCATCATCGGCTGGACACCAGGAAATATTAGAATTCACAAGAGGTGGCTCAGTGAGATTCCCACGAACACTTGTGTAGTTGAAAGTCGCACTGTAGTTTCCATTACGCAAGATTGAAGATGGTGTAGCTAGACAAGGAAACACAATCAAGTAGAGCGGTTTTCATTTGAGTGTTGAAAAGTAATTGGTTTTGCACTTTCTACACGATGCGATTGGCTTAAAAGATTCGCGCCACCTTTTCATCCAATCAGGAGTAAAACCAAAGCCAATTGTGACGCGCTCGCATGCATTTTCCCGCGCTTTGCGTCAGCCACATGTAATTACTTCGAGTTTTGATTGGTTCAATGTATTGTCTGTGTCCT